TTTATATATTTATTGTTTTATGAATTATTAGGAATATTATACCAATTTTTATATATGTATCTATTCAATGGTAAAGTGGATAATTTAGTCATGATCAGAGAGCATAAATAATATTAATTGATTATTTTTATTATCAATTTTTTTGGATTAAATGAGATATCAATGAATTTGCAGGTAAAGAAAAAAAATTATTGAATTTGTATATAATATTAAAATCATTTATCAGGTTACTGATTTTTATGTGTGTATATTATAATTAATAGGTAAAAGGAAAACTTGGTCAGTTATAAATTATAAACACATTTATTTGTGTATATTAATTATATTTAATGGGTAAAAGAATAACTTGTTTGGTTATAATTATAATAAACATTATTTTTATTAAATAACTATTACAGAAAAAATTAATGTGTACATATACATATATATACAGTGTGTTTCAAAAAAAACCAGAAAATTTTATGTGAGCTAAAAACATGTATAGCTTCCCAAATTTAAATCTAATTTGTGCTTTATAAAAAATCAAAATAAACTTATGTTTCAAAATTAAATATTGAGATCTTCTGTAACTGATAATCTTTTTTGCCTGTTAAAAAAAATAACTATAACATGCCTACTTCGAGACAAGAAACACAATGTCAAGCCATATTACATTTATGGAATAATGGTATATGTGAGGCCAAGGAAATAAACAAAAGAATGAATATACCCCTTTCTACCATCTACATCTGGAAAATATAAAAAAATTTTACATGTGTCAATTGTAAGTTTAATAATAAAAAAGTGTAAAACTTATGTTGGCACTGTAAGATTTACACAATATTATGTCGGCATCATAAGATTTATGCAAGTTTATGCTAAATTAATTTCCTGATGTATGATAATATAAAAAATTAAAAACAACCAGTAATTTGAATCATGCTAGAGGAAATGGCTGTCAAAAAAAATTACTGCAGATGCATCAAGAGCTTTGGGACAATATATATGCAGAGATACATCAGTTTCGACTAGAACATTGGCAACAAAGTTATCAATAAACCATGTACAAGTGTCTTATTCAACCATTCTTAGACACATATATGAAAAGGGTTATAAAAAAGCTTTGCCAATAGCTATGCCAATGTTGACAGCTGTTCACAAAGAAAACCATGTACAATGGGCACAACAACATCCTAATGACGATTGGAATAAAACATTATTTACTGATAAGTGATAAAACGAATGTCCATTATGCTTCCTCACATATGATTTTTTATATGTGTGCTCAACTATGTTTGTGTTTATGCTGATATGTAACACCCCAGTCATTTATACATTTTGATTAATTATGTTATTAACATAATAATAATAATAATAATAATAATAATAATAACAACAATAAATAATAGATCATTGTTATTAACATTTTGTAAATCTATTGTTTTAAATATACAATATATATGATTATTTTATGATAATTGCTTTATATCTAAATATATTCTTGCATCAACTTGAAATTCACTTATTCCATTTTGAAATTAAATTCTCCTCCGATATAAATTTATATTGTTTTCAAATTGTGTAATGATCATCAAGCCAATAAATTTAATTTTTGCGTGATATCTGGAAGGGAGATCATCACAAAATTTAGCCAATGAAATTAAATGCCCATTATGCTATCCGAAACTTAGTCATTTTGTTGAAACTCAATCACTGTGCTGAAACTACAAATGAATGCTGAAACTCAATACATTGATTTGCTAGATGAATTTCCAATCTACTAGGATAAGCTCTATCTCATCTCTAATGACAATATTTACAAGTTGCTTCATAATGGCCTTTGGTTTTTCATCTCCTTTTGTAAAATGGGTCCAAACTTCTGACAATGGTCTATTGCCAGCATGTTTTCTTTTGTTATTTGACAATTCTGGTGTAATTGATGAAATTTCATATATATCATCATTTTCATGTTGAAAATAATTATCTAAAGTATTTGATGTTCCTTGGTTTGATACCATTATTTTAAAATTTTTCAAAGCAATAAATTTTTACTATAAAAATATCTCACACACAAGTGATATATCACATGGTAATAAATTTTATTGGCTTGAAGATCATTATGCAAATTTGAAAAACTTAATATTGGAGGGAAGGAAATTTAGTTCAAATTGATAAAAATAAAATGTTTATAATAAATAAAAAAATTTATATAGTATTTCTTTATTGAATGTTTATAATACATAGGCTTGTTTTTTTTGTTATAGTCTAATACAGTGTGTAACAAAAAAAACTGTATATTTTTATAAAAAATGGGTCATTTGTAAGATAAAAACAACCAAATTTATTTGATAATAATTAATAAGAAATCCATTCTCCATTCCTCTCAATAATAAGCTCACAACGTCATTTCATTGATTCTATTAAATTAATTAACATGCTTTCCAGAATTCTATTCCACTATTCCATCATAAATCTCTCTAGTTCACCAAGATTTTTTGGCATACGCCTTTCTACATTATTCTTAACAATTCCCCAAAGGTTTTCTATCAGATTTAAATCAGGACTATTCAATGGCCAGTCCATAACCACCAGAATGATTTCTTTCAGAAACTCCATAGTAAGATGACTCATGTGTTTTGGATCATTGTCTTGCTGGAGTCTCCATCTACCTCCAAGCATCTTATTTACTTCTGGCATATGTTTCTGGAGGATTTCTACATAAAATTTGGCATCCATTATCCTCCTGAAACAAAATAAACTTGTTTTTCCAACTATGCAAAATCTGCCCATGCAAAGACACTTGTGTGATCTTTGGGCATGGAACAAATTGGCCATTCACCTTTGTACCAACATTTGATGGTGTTTCAGTAAAGTTGAAATGCAGTTTCATCAGAAAATAATGTCTTCCTCAAATTGTCATTAAGGTGTTGACATGCCCACTCAACATGCCTTTGCTTATGAGCTTTGATTAACATAGGTGTTTGTCTAGGCAATGCTTTTGAGTACCCATAAGTGGTCAGGTAGATCGAAATTATCATATGTGACACTTTTTGAGCTAAGGTCCATGTGGAAATTGAGTCATTTCTCCATATTGATTGTCCAATCATCTTGGAGTTATTTTCCTGGGCTGATCATTTCCTCATGTGTGCTCCACTGTCCCTTTTTCTTTTATTTTTTTAATGTTACCATAAATAGTAGACAGTGGGATGTTTGTTCGGCAATGAATTTCTGGCCATTGTGAATGCCCTTGTTCTACAAATGTAATATGCATTTGATGTTGCATTTCTTGCTTAGAAGCAGGCATTGTGTTTGTACATAAAGCAAAAAGTACACTAAGGGTCAGGGTTGTAAACAATGCTCAAATTTACTCCTGATTATCATGTTTATTTTCCATTTTACATCTCTCAAGTTGGACAGAAAACAAACACATGAAATGCATTTATGTTGCATAAAAAAAAATCCAGTTTTTTTTGTTACACCCTGTATATTATTATATTATTTACTTTTCAACTTCATCAAATCAACATTTTACCTTTGATCATAAATTGTCATCCATTATATAATACTGTATATATATATCTGACATTTCCTATAAATAAATAGATAAATTGGTGACATAAATATAAATGAATATATGAATTTTGAAATAAAAAATAAAAATAAATGTAAATATGTAAATATAAAAGAAATATATTTTAAATACATTTTTTAAATTGTATACATCACTCTATAATTACACCATGAGTATATCTGTTATTGTTGTTTAAAAATCCTTCTTGTTTTTTAAATGCATCATTAAAAAATCAAGAAATAATGTTTCTCTAATTAATCAAAATATATAAGTGACCTACTTTCAAAACAATTCTCTTGATAAAGAAAGAAAATAACAGTTAATTCTCAAATCAATACCAAAAACTATTTGTCAGTAAGATTTCCTATTCAATCTGATCTAGATATACACATAAAACGATTTTGTTTGTTATCAATCACCTTTTTTTAAATTTTTTTTTAGAAACCAAGTTATATATATATATGCATGTGTGTTTAAATAATTTTTTCACTATAATAAATAAAATATTAATATATCAAGTTTATATATCAAAAAACTCGATCACAACACAAAAAAAAATAAACAATAATATTTACAAGTGAGAGTTTATCTTCCATCATAGATAGCTTTCTTGCATTTTTCTTTCTCTCCATCTCTTGTCAATAATAATGATGTTGTGATCAAAGAGGATGAACAAGAAGGTATAACATTAATACATGGTCATGGAACTTTATAAAAAGGGTGTTGTCTCAAATATAAAATCCTATATAATAATAGACTATAAAAAGATAATGGTTAATGATAATTTGTTACATTAAATGAAGAAATGATTATTTCCAAAATGCTTGTATGGTAAAATTTTAAATAAACATATCATAAAACAAAAATGCATGATTCTGAGTCTAGAATGTCTTACAATATACTTACATTGATCATTAAAGCTTGAAATATAGCTCCTATGTAACCCTTCAAAAGCAATTTAATCATTTTTCGCACACATACTGAGAACATAGAGAGCAAAATATACACATTAAAAAAATACATCTCAGGTTAAACAAGTTTTTGTGCGCAGTCACGCGACTTTTTTCTATTCTAAATTCAATTGAAGCCGCATGTTTCACAACATAAAAAAGATCAATGATCGATTTAGTCACATGTGATAAAACGAATGACCACTATGCTATTATTGGTAAAGTAATATTATCAATATGCTTTATGAATCATTGGGTACACAAAATGCTTGCACATTTTATAGTTTTGGCACATAGATTTAGTTTCACAAGTAGATTTAGTTTTGACATTTTGCTTGCTTGAAAATCAAAACTAAATTTTTTAATTTGCTGAAACTATTGTTGAAATTTATTAGTTTAGGCAAACTTCTATATTGTAAGGTAAGATTTATTTTTAATAGCAAAATAAATCTTAATCAAATCCTAAGATTAAATAAATTTTGATCAACAAATTTATGAGATCAGTTAATCAAATTTAATTTCTGAGGATGCCCTATGTTTGAAAGACCAAATTGAAACACTGGACTAAATTCATATGCAAATAGTTGCCTAATTTGAATCTCATAATTCGAAAACCTTTTACCAAATTTTTACTTAATTTGGAAAGATAATCAGGTTTTTTAAAAATTGAAAGAGTTTACTTGTGATCAGCACCATTAGTAAAATTAAAATGTAAATCTTTACCAAATACATTGAAATCATTGTAGAAAATAAACTTTTTTACCAGTGTTTCGTTTTTATCTTTAAAAAAAAAAAAGCCACGTTTTCATATAAAAATTTCATATGATCCTTTATTTGGAAACGAAATTCATAGCATATGCAAACAAATGACTCTAGTTTAAATTTCATACATGGTTGATAAAAAAAACCCATTTTCAAAAAGTGGTTGGGGAGAAAGTATGATTACACCGGCAGAAAACATTTAATTCATGATTGTAAAATTTACGTAAAATTCAAAAGATTTTTCAATAATTGTAAAATACCTTGAAATTGTTAGAAAGGGGTAAAAAAAATTATTGTAAAAACGGTTTGTCACTGTCAATGATTTTTCACCACATTACCAAATATATTGACGACGTTGTAAAAACGACATTATCACAAACATTTCATTATATGAAATCTAAACTTTGCTATCAGTATTAATCCAATGGAATGCATGAGGACAAAGGTTTATTGATTGCATTGTTATCATATACGCCATGTTCGTTCACTCTATATACGAATCAACATATTTGTAGCGGAGGGCTTCTGACATACAACTCATATCATGCCATTTTCTCCCTACAAAGTTTTGAATACTGAAAATGTTCTCAAATTATCAATGGAAAATTCGATGTATATAATACATTTTTTTAGTATAATTTCATACAACTCAAAAACTTAGTTTTTTTCCACTAGTACATTTTAGGTATATGAGGTATTACTTTTGAACACATTTCAAGTATCTAACTTTTGTAAGACTTTCCATATCTCTTACAGCAGTTAGTATTAATAAAAATTGCCTTTGCAGATTATTTATTTTTTAAGGTAAAGGAGAAAGAATTGTAAGATTTGACAACCATTTAAAAATGTAAATTTGTTCAGATGCAATTGGACAATAATAACATCATCACAAACGACTATTTAACAATAATAAATTTCATTATAGTAAATCCATTTTTGGCGAAAAAAGTTTATACCCACATGTCATAACTTGAGAAAAAAAAGAAAAAGGCGCTCAGGCCAAATAAACCAAATGTCTCACATGTAAACTCTGAAAAAGATATTGTCATTTGGTAATCTTTAACAAATGAAATTTGTGTGTGTTAAAAATGCCTAAATCGATTTAGTATTAGTGTTTATAAAGCAATTTACAAAACTGAGCAAATATCCGAAACTCAAAATGTAATCCCCGAAATCAAATACATGAAAAAAATAAAAATAAAAAAAAATTAAATTATGACATGCAAAGAAAATTGAATAAACTCTATTTTTATAACTTTGGTAAATAATTCTACTGCATTTAATTTTGGTCAGAAATACTATTAATTCCGACAATATATTAAAGAAAAATTCAGTAATAATATAATAATGAGGAGAAACATTTATGAAATCCCAAAAATGAAATAATGAAGATTTTCATATGAAGATTTACAAATATAATGTTATTACTATGAAGATTGTGACGATGAGGTGATCTTTTTCTAAGATCCGTATTTTTACATAACCCGTCTTTGCAAAGAAAAATATTATACTACCAAAAGAAATGGGATTTCGAATTGGAAAATTCTATTAGTATAAAATAATTCTATGCAAACATTACAGTATATTTTTTTAAAAAAAACAGATTAATGTTGCTTCTATGAGATAATAATTTTTATTTATAAATAATTTAAATAATTAATTATATGGTACAATCAATTAATTAATGTTTGGAAATGTAAATCTTTATTCCATTTATCCATTCATTCAAAAATACTATTTGTAATAATTAATAATTAAAATAATGTGTCAGTTGGATGTCTACATATTATATACTCCGAGATCGATGCAGTTTAATTTGCTATATTGCATTTTTTTAACGTTTTATCTTATTTTAAAATAATAAGTGTAACGATTCTATAATAATAATTTCTTTGTAAAAATAATTAATTGGTCATTTAAGGATTTACACAACATAATAAATCTAAAAATTATTTTTATAATATGGCCGTCACGTGACTATATAGACTCATCGTACTGTGATTAACAAGATTCCTGATATATATATGTAGTGCTTGAAATTGGAATCGCTTCAATTCAAAATCATTTAACTAAGTGTAAACAAATTATTATTAAAAACAAAATTTTTTTTTGGAAAACCCGAATAAAACAGGCGAAAATAGATGTTGGATTGATTAAAAAAAAGTAATCAATCCCAATTCCTATTTATCCTATTCTTTTTTTATATTTTTGCTTAAATAGTAAAAAGTAAATAGTGTAGATATTATATAGATGGATGGATAGATATACTATTATGAAAAAAGATGCTTAAATATTATGTCGATCGAGAATAAAACGCAATAATTGATAACGTTAATAAAGTGAGTGAGTGGATCGTTTTTATTTTTTAGGCGATTTACAATAAATAAAGATTTAATTTTGGAAAGAAAATCAAATCATCCAATTAATCAACAATCAACAATCAATAATCGAAGACGAAGAAGAAAGAATATTATTCAGAATTTGTATGTAAACAACAACAAGTATGGCTGATTGCTGATAGTAATAGCCGATGTAAATATATATACCAAACAAAAATAACGGTTTTATATTTTTGTATTTTTACATTTCTATATAGATGTTATTAATATTGATGTAGCCAGCCAAATATTTACCATTAATAATTGCGAGAAAAGTTACTATTAAATAATAGAAAATGTTTTGAACACAAGTGTTTATATTTGAAACAGATGCTTATTTTCAACAGTTAAACTTTGTGATGTTGTTTGTCCTTAAATAGATTGTCATACGAATTCCGGATCACATTCGGATCGAGACGGGGTTACCACCCATCCACATTTATAAAATATTAAAATATATGTCAACAACATTACAAATTTTGTAGTGTAATTATTATGATGATTAAATTGATTTACTTTGCATGCATTTTTTTTTTTTTTGGTTTGATCATTAATATATATATATATATATACACTATATATTCTGTATACTATATTTGTAAATATTTATTCAACCATTGATTTTATATGAAGATACCTCGGGATTATCCGTTACAAATTTTCATTTAAAAATTAACTATGTGTTTCTGATTCATTCATTCAATAGTAAAATTTGCTAATCTCTTGGTCTGAAACATGCTGTTTGATGTTGTTACCTAAGCAAGCAAGAAAATGAAAATTATTATTACATAAGACATTTAGCTTTTAAATTTGATTATTATTTTTCTTCTTTTTTATAAGAAAATAAATATTAATTTTGGAAACGTTTAATTTAAAAAATGCATTTATCGAGATTTTAATTATGAAATGTGTGTGCGCACGCGCGAAAGAGAAAGAGAGAATGCGTGTGTTAGTGCGTGCGTGCGCGAGAAAGAGAGAGAGTGTGTGTGTATGCGTGCGCGAAAGAGAAAGGGAGGGAGTAAGAGAGAGAGTGTGTGTGTGTGTGCGTGTGCGTACGCGCGCACGAAAGAAAAGAGAGCATGTGCCTATAAGAGAGAAAGAGAAAGAGAGAGAAAAAATTTTTTTTCAATTAAATAATTAGTAATGTGAAATTTGTATGAAATGTGATGAACGATATACATCCGAGCTACATATAAATAATTAAATTATTAATTAGTTTTTCATATAAAAAAAATCCAATAGACCACATCGGGTAAATAAATAAATAAAATAAATACAAAGAAAATCTTACAACTACAAATATTATATTAATGTATGAAAAAAATTATATATCCGTACTACTTCACGGGAGTCGTCGTGATATTTTTAATTTAACATTTATCTATTTTCCTTTAATGCGCGATTTTGAATTGATTTTTGAATTGATTTTTATGTTATACTATTATATAAAGTTTATTATTATACAAGTTTAATATTTATATAATGAAACTGTGGAAAAATTATGTCACACAAAAAAAAGGTATATAAAGAGTGATTTCTGGTTTTTAACACCGTGGTGGTCAAACGCACTCAAAATTTTTTACTTCTTTTGAATTCTCACCTTTTGTTAAAAAAACTAAAAAAAAACATTTTAAATAGATATATATTTATTATATATAATAAATTATTCATATTATTTTTATTTCTAGTTATCTTATTATATTCATTTAAAAATTCTCTTTGTTTGAGAAGAAAAGGATTATTATTTCTTCTCGTTAGAGCGATTTTTAGACATATAATATATATATACTATATAATATTATATATATAATTATATATAGTTTCTTGAATTTTGCCAAAAACAGAAATTTTCTTTTGATTTTCATAAATATATTACTACTATCTGAAACATTAAAAAAATTTTTAAAAAGTTTGAATATTAAAGCTTTACTTTTGTAACAGAACAAAAAAATATGCAGTCAAAAACTTATCTCCCTCCAATCAAATATCTTTTGGATTCTCCTATCGATGATGGTATGTGTTTTAAATTTTTTAAACAAAAAAATTTTAAATTAAAAATTCTCACTTTTTTCTCATCAAATTTTTGATAAAAAACAGCCTCTTCATTCAATTTTCCTTCTATTCAACAACAAACATCTTTAATTAATTATAACAACAATAACAACAACAATGGTAACGGCAACAATAATAATAATGTCTATATTTCATCTTATCTTCCCTCAATCAATGAATCAAGTCAAAACTATAAACGATTGATGAATTCAAATGACATTCATCGTCATCCCAACAACAACAACAATTCTTGTTCTTCTTCTCATGCCAGTATTAAGTCTTTGCTTTCACCTCCTGAATCGCCTGATATGACTACTTCTCATCAACAATCTCTATTTAATAATTATGCTTCACATAATCATCATAATAATAATTACAATCACCATAGTCAATCACAATCGCAACAAATTGTCAATCATCCATGCAGTTGTTGTATAAAACCATCTTCTCCAACCCTTCCTTTCATCTATTCTTCTCAATCTTCTTCACGTTATGTTCCATATCATTATCAATACTCACAAGATCCTCATAATCATCATAATCATCATCACCAGCAACAACAACAACAACAACAACAAAGGTATCACAACTCATTTCCTTCTACCATTCAACCAATACCAATTTCACCATTTGATCATCGTAAACAATTATCAATTTCTACTTCTCCAACATCAACATCAACATCATCATTGATTTTACAGCCAAATCTTCCACGCATAAGTACGATTTCATCAAATTTAACTTCAACTCCTACCACAAAACATTTCACACCAAAATCTCTACATCCATTATCATGTAGTCCCACCACAAGTAGTAATTGTAATGGTAATCGTTATCAATGTCAATATTGTTCAAAGAGATTTTCTCGCCCAAGTTCGCTCAGGATCCACACCTATTCACATACTGGGGAAAAACCTTTTGTATGTTCCGAGCCTGGTTGCGGTAGAAAATTTTCAGTACAAAGTAACATGAGAAGACATTTAAGAGTACATAAGCTGGGTAGACCAGTCAAAAAAACTCGTTATGATGGTGAAGTCGAAGGTGTTAAAATGTTGAGTCCTGCTAAAATCACTCGAAATTATTTATAATTTAAAAACTTCACTATACACGTAATCTCATTTAGAAAAAAACCGATCAGTTAAAATTTTATTTGGCGATTTATTACATATATACTTGTTATTTTATTGATATGGGTGGGAACAAAAACGCGTATGTTCGTCATTAAATTCAAAATCATTATCATTTTATCATTTTCAATCAATCAACTAAGCATAATATCATAATCATCATTACAACTCAATCATAATCATTTAATTAATTGCAATCGAACTTTAAAATTTTTTTTAATTTTCTTACGTCTTGATTTTCTTTTTTCCTTTCATTTTTAATTATTCAAAAAACAAATCTCGTAACAAATCCTTTACACAATTATACACTCACACACATAACCTGTAACATTTTTTTCCTAAGTAACTCCATTTTTTTATTTGAATGGACTCTTTTTCGACCCTGCCTTTCTTTTTTTTCCTACAAGAAAATATAAAATAAACTCCAATTCATATCACCTACCACCTTTTATTTCCTTTAATTTTCCATTCGTCTTCTTCTCTATCACCACTACTCTTACCACCATATCTCATATAAAATAATTGGTGTAAAATATTATTGTTATTATTATAAACAAATTATTAATATTATTATTAATATTATTGTTATTAATATTAATAATAATCACTCAAATCAATCATATATACAGAATTTAAACACTTGACAACAACAAAAAACAACAAAACACAAATATTACAATTACAAAAAAAAACAAATAGCTTCTCATCTTTAATTATGTTACAGGCATATACACATATATTAGTCATGTTTATATAGAATTTTCTTTTTTCTTGATCATCATCATCATTTACTTCATATGCATTTTTTTTTTCCACCCCCTCCGCAAAACAATAAAAGAAAAAAAACCAAAGCAAAATTACAAGAAAAATTTACTTTAAATACTTTATTATGCAATAATTTCCAAATAAAATTTATAGATTTTTTTTTTTAATAATAATAATAATAATAATTTTTACTAATTACTACTACTTACCTAATCACTAATTAATTAATTTCATCTTTATTTTAATATTTGGTTATTTTTTCTTTGATTTATGGTTATTTTTGGGACGTTTGACTTTTTTTAATTTTTTTATGAAAAAAATACTTAATTATATGATTTTTATTTATTATTGATCAATTAATTAATATATTTAGATTTATGCTTTTTTTAATTCTTTCTCTGGCAATATAAAATCTGAACTTTTCAATCCAATCAATCACATTCACATTATACATTCCTTTTTTTTTTTTTTTGTTTTTTTTTTAAATAATAAATTTTAAATAATAAAAAAAAAATAATAAAAATATAACAAAAATAAAATAAGTATTATCATCATTATCCCGTAGATCCAAATAAACAAAATTAAGTTAGGGGATTGACGTTGCCTTATTTGTATTTCATTCTATAAATAACAAAAAAGAGAGCTAATCATGGTGTGGAATGATGGCACATTTTATATGTGTATATTAATATATTCTTAGAATACCAATAGGAACTTTTTTTATTTGTTTGTAGGAAAATCCATGTAAAATTCCGACGTTCAACCCGATTCATGTGGCACAAACAAGATTTATAAAATACAAACAAAAAATTTAAATCATAATCAATAATAAATTAATAATAATTCTTATTTAAAATTTCCAATTTAAGAATGAATGTGTATCCCAAGATTTTTTCAATTCTACTCAATCCAACAGTGTAATATGTAAACTAGAACTAATTTTGGAAGAAAGATCCAGTAAATTCATCTTCTCGTTATTATTATTATCAATAAATGTTTGTTTGTCTGTTTGTTTTATTGCTTGTGATTGAGATAAAAACCATTCCTTGTAACATCCACATTAAATCCATAATAATATGACTGTTAAATAAAGACGCCTATTTGTAACTAAGCTTATTATTATTATCATTATTACAAGTTTTTTACTGGAAATAATCTTTAAAAAAAAAAAAAACAAAACAAACAACAAACAACAGCAGCCACAACAACAACGACGATGACGACGATGACACAGCAACAACAAGAACTAATAATTGTTGGAATCTTCTATCTTATCTATCAAAAAAAATAATAATAAATAATATTTTTTTTTCAATAAAATTTGATTATGCGTACCATCTCAATCACCAAAATTATAATATTTGCCACAAATTAAATTAATTTGCAACTAAACCTGTTATTAATCACGCATTGTTATTACATTATTATTATGAAGTTTACCTATGATATAAAAGAAGAAAGTCCTCCTGATTATACAGAGCATTGATGTCATAAAATTTATTGGTACTGAATTGCAAAGTTTACACCAAATTTAATAAATTAAGAATGTATACATAGATGCGTGTGGCCCGGTTTAAAGAAAACACAAATTTAAAGATAATCAAAAATTTTTACAAGAGTTTTGTGGTCGCGATTGTGTGATGCTAGGGGGCGCAATTTAGATTTAGTGCAAAGTTTTTCATATAAAAAAGGAGAAAAGGAAATTTTGGTATTACAGAATAATTATGTTGTGTATATAGAGAGACAATTGATTTGCAAATTTACACGCGCGAATTCAAATTAGCCAATCAAAATGTGTATTCAACATCCAAGTTCGAATTATGATTTTTTCATAATAAACAAAGCTTTATTATTAAATTATTAAAGCAAAGCAAAACTACACCATCAAAGCTTTCCAATCATCTTCTTTTATATCTAAAAAAAAAGTCTTAAAAATTGGCGAGAAGTTATGGTGCATGCAAGAGCCTTTTTGGTAATCTAGATAAAGACCCTTCCTTTCCAAACTCGATATTAAGAAAGAAATTGAGTGTGGGCGCTTGTGTTACATAAAAAATGCGCACATTTTGTTGATAAAATAATTTGGGCATGCTTGCAACAAAACCAGACAAAATGAACATTGGTATTACCAAGAATTTCAGGTTTGTTTAACATCACAATTGTATTACAATGTAATGTGATCATGATATTTGGATCATTAATTGCTTATAGTAACAATTGGTCAACTTCAAAATACTAAAACAAAAAAAAAATTATATCATTTTAAAAAATTTAACCGATAAGTTTTATTGTTCATGACTCAAGCTTCAAAACTTATCGGCTGGTTTTTTCTTAAACTGAAAATTGGCAGAGCCTTAGCATTTTGAAAATTCCGAATTTTGTTATACACTTAAGAAATTGAGACTAAGTAAATTTCGTGTAACAGCTTTTTTTCATAGAATATTTTCTACAACATACATTTGATTTATTTGACTTATTTATTTCCTTTTTTTTATTAATAAATAAAAGTTCTTTACAACAAAAAAGTTTAACAAACATATTAAACATATTACATTAAAAGAAAATCATTGCCAAATTTGGTTGTGAGATTCAAAATATTGTAACACGAAAATTATTGTTGCACTTCTGAGCATTACTTTCAAATTTAAAAAATCCATGAAAAAGGAAATTTGAGACAAATTTTTTTTTAGATTAATAGACTCCCTTTTTAAAACTGAATTGAATGGTGGTGGGTTTTTTAAAATCCAATGTGTGGATCACATGATATTTCAAAATTTTTAACTTTTGAGTATAGATGATCCGCACTGTATCTTTTCTGCCTATAAAAAATTTGGTATGGAAAAATGCGAATTTCCAGTAAAATTTGTACAGTTTTCCATAAGTTTTCTATACATTTTCCTTACCAAATTTTTTATAGGCTATAATAATTAAATTCTTTTTTTGCATGATTAACATAATAAGAATGAACTTTAGCTAAATTTTCAATCATCTTTGTAAATAACCTGTTCCTTCTTTGCCCATAAAACCATTCTAAAATAGAAAAAATTCATTCAGCATTAGCCATATGTGGAATAACAGAAAACAATTTGGTTGTCAATTTTTGTAAATGATTATAATCATATTCACATGTAGACCACCAATTAATTGGATTATCCAGTCTAGTGTCAACATTTGAAGAATTAAAAATTGCCAAAGAATTTGCTTCATCCAAAAAATTATCATTTTGATATTTATGTTGCAAGCATGCAAACTGAGTTTGATTAATTAATGTGATACTCACTCTAGAATAATCCACTAGTCCTCTAGTGACTTTAATTATGTTGCTTCTGGCCTTTGCCCCAAGATAATTAGAGATTTTCCTGCTATATTATTGCTGGTCTTTGCCTAATATCTCTATAAAAAAATAAAATACAGAATAGGTACAGAATGCAAAAAAAGTACGGAAAAAACATACAAAAGGTGCAAGGAAATGTATAAAAAGTACAAAAACAACAAAAACAAATTTCCATACTTTTTATACATTTCTCCTGCACCTTTTGTATGTCTTTTCCATACTTTTTTTGCATTTCATACCTATTCCATACCAATTTTGTATTTATTTTTTTATAGGGTATAATGACCTTTTATATTGTTCTGGCTCTGCCCAACATAACCTAGGCTTTCTCTTTTATATATTTTGTACTGGCCTTCACCTAATATATATATCTCTCCTTATTATACACACAGCTAGCTATTGAGCATTGAATAATTACAACCTACATCAGGAAATTTTCCCTGCCATAATATTACATCCATAAATTTTAATATGTAGATTTGTAATATTTGCATAAAAAATTTACACTCAATGTAATAATTGCATAATTTTTGTATGATTTTTGCATAATATTACAGGGCCCACTGTAAACTTATGTAAATAGTGTAATAATTATGTAAATCCACATCAGAAAAATTTTCCTGATGTTAACTATGCAAATAAGGTAAAATGTGTTTATTTAATCAAAGGTTATTTATTATTTGTTATTATATTATCATTAGATTGTTATCAACAATATTATTCTTTAACTTGGTATAAAACTAATGACGCTGTCTGTAAATCAGATTTACAGAAGTTGTATCTAGCAACCAAGTTGTCATACTATTTGCAACCAAGTGCCAAAATCTGTAATTCTCTGTAATATGTAAATGTATCTGTAATTCTGCAATCCTGTAATATGTAAATGTACCTGTAATTCTGCAATTCTGTAATATGTAAGTGTATCTGTAATTATGTAATTCTGTAATATGTAAATGTATCTGTAATTCTGTAATTCTGTAATATGTAAATGTATCTGTAATTCTGTAATTCTGTAATATATATAATAATAAATGAACTTTTGTGTAACAAAATTTTTTATAATGAACAAGAGACCAAGAAAAGAACTAAGCAATTCTATTAATCATGGCAGACAATTTACAGGTGTATGGAGGCAATTTATTCAAGGTCAAGAAAAAGGAAATGGTATATATGAAGGTGAATGTATAAGTAGTCATAAAAAATGGGCATTTGCAAAACCTGGAATCTTATGTTCTCATTTAGCAAATGCTGTATGGTAAGAAATGGCAAAATTTGTCAATCCACAACTTGAAAGTCTGGCTAAAGTTTATAGATATAATATATCAGAAGTTGCACAAACTACTAATCATTTGAAGAGAAATAAGGTAGAAATAACACAAGATGAAATTCAAGATTTATTAAATAAATCTATGGAAGAAGAAGAAGAAAGGGAAGAAGAAGAGGGCGATGATGAGAATGATGTAGTTGAGAATGAAATTAGTATCACAACAGAAGAATCAAATATTCCAGATTGTGAATTAGATGTACAAGTTGTGATTGAATTTAATTCTTGTGTTTTTGAAATGTTTAACAAAAACAATATAATAGAAGAATTAGATGGTGGATTTTTTGATGAAGAGACTGGAGGTGATGATTATGATCCCATAGAAGTAGCTCATGAATCAATGGGTTTTGAAGATTATTACAATGTATAATAATATATATTTTTATAATTTTTTAAATTTAAAAAGTTTATGAATAAAGTTTATGATTTCATTTGTGTAAACTGCAAAAAATTTTGATTTGATTATAATTTTCAATTAAATAACATATTTATTACAGAATTACAGAATTACAAAATTACAGAATTACAGATACATTTACATATTACAGAATTGCAGAATTACAGGTACATTTACATATTACAGGATTGCAGAATTACAGATACATTTACATATTACAGATTTTCTGACAATTGCATACTTGAAAAGTTGTCATATTACAGAATGGCCAAACTATTTACAGACGGGATCATTAGTATTGAATAATTTTTTTTATGTAATAACAAAAATTTTTTTTATTCCACATGACTTAATGTAGTGCAATTTTCTATACCAGATTTTCTCTATAACGGATCTGCGTGGATTGTACAGTCAAAGCTCTCTATAACGAACCCCCTGTCCCGAGAATTTTTGTTCGTTATAGAGAGCGTTCACTATAAAGAAAGTGTCGATCAATCATCACATTTATAGTCATGTGATCGTAATATAATTATGAAAATTGCACATTTATCTTTTTCTTTTAAAATCTCAGTTACTGTAGATTTTCCAACATTATATATATCTGCAAGTTCAACGTTAGAAATATTCGGATCCCTTTGTTTCAACAAACATAACTCTTTCTTTTGTAAAGCTGTCAAAGTAGTTCTTCTTTTAGTTGACATTTGGTTGAATTTTAAAATATCTTTTTTTTTAAAAAAAAAATGCACACGGATATTTTATATATTTAACAAAAATTGGTATTTATTTTCTTTATTTTCATTAATGATTTAACAAAAGAGACGTAGTGTGTAAGCAATCAGTCAATTGTATTCTTATCGCTTGTATAATGTTAATATTAATTTTGTTTTCGTTATAGTTAAAGAAAGAAGTCGGTATAATATACTTTGTATCAAATAACAATAATAAATTTTGATGGGAAAAAAGTTTTTTTTGTCAATAATGATGTTACATTAAAGTTTGAATGTAAATTTGTCATATGATTTCTCAAAAACAGCTCGTTATATAGAATAGAGAATTTAATTATAAAGCTCGTTATACAAAGTAAAATTAACAAACAAAAAATCGGGACCAACACCTTAGTTCATTATAGAGAGCAGTTCGGTTTTTGGAGGTTCGTTATAGAGAGCTTTGACTGTACACATTTGTCGATCAAATAACAATTTTATTATTTCTTAAAATGTCTTCCGGTAATAATGGCAAAAAATGCATTGGATGCGGTTTCTGGGCAAGTGCTTATCATAAGAATGGTGTGGTTATCGCCACTTGTCGTCACTCCAGTTAAAAATTTTAAGAATAGTGAGACCATTCTTATGGATAGTTTGAAGGTCGCAATGTCATTCTATTAAGACATACGAAGCTAGTGATGAAGTTATAGTTATAATAGAGTTAAAAGGCAAAGAAATAATAGTTATTCCCCATGAAGTGGGAGGTAACAGCAAGATTCGGAGAATTTTGCTAGCTATTTATCAACCGGACGTGGGGGATAAGAGAGTTATCTCCCGGGTGATAACTGAATTACATTTTACAACCAATATGAAGAAGAAGAAGTTGTATTGGCAGTTAATAGATTGATAACTTTTTTCCAATGAAATATTATTGAAAATTCTAAGTTATTATTTTGAAATTTGATTTTAATTTCTTAGTGGATTTTTTATAATTTGGAAAATTTATAATATTTAGGATAAAAACAAATAATTATTATATATCAAAGTAAAACAAAAAAATAAATGTTGAAATGATATTTGACAAAGTATTTCGGAATTGATAAATTATTAATCAAAGCATTATCTTGTTTATTTGATTTACTTGATGAAAGCTTTTAGTGAATTAGCTTGTTGAATCGATTTACCGAGTGCCCAATTTGTATAAAATGGCATTGAATTATTTTATGATTCTTTTCATTAATTAAATACTTTTCCGATTTAATTACCTTTTGGCATTTTGATTCTGCCAATTCAAGGATATGTATTTATGAAGATATTCCCAAATTCCCTTAGCAATAGGTCTATTTTCCACTTTAGATCCCAGCATTTCTTCATTAAATCACCATAGAATTCAGGTATGTCTTTAGTGATTCAGGTCTTTTATTTTCCAATATATTCAGAATTAGATGAGGATTATGTAAAATGGTTTCTTTCCCGTAGTATACTATAAACATATGATTCTTTGTATATGGTTTGCCTAATAATATTTCATTTAAGTGCCATGTATGGAATGACATCAAAGATCCATTTGTATTATCTTTTTTCTTTTAATTGTTGATATGATCCTAAATCTCCTGTTTTACCATCCCAAACAGTATATGAAAAATATTATCACTGTGCAAGTCATGATGAATGTAATTTTTCTCATTCATCTGATTCATTTAATTAAAAATTTAATATAAACATTTTGCTATATGTCTATAAAATAATAAATTCAATAGTAAAAAATATAAAATGAAATAGCCAAAGTGATTTGATTTTATCTTTCCAAATAATTTCTTTAAAATTTTGATAATTGATTGTGCTAATCTCTATTCTTGGCTGTAAGAATTACTTTTCAAAGTCAAGTAAAATACGTTTTTACAACAGATATTTTAATTATTGTAAAAATACAAGTTAAGTTTATTTTCTTAAAATATATTCCTTTATATAAATTATACATAAAACAATAGTTATCTTATGATTGTTAATCTATCCAGAAGATATCAAAACATAATGGGAATAATAAGTTTGGTTATCTTGAATAAATTAGTGGTTATAATAAAATTAATTAAATTATAAATAAAAAAGTAAACAAATATTGTTACACATGACTTGTTATATGTAATTCTATTCCTTTACGAATTGTTGCTACATTAGGATATTCAAATACCAACAGATGATTGTCCTCATTTGGATCCCTAGTAACTTCATTACATCGATGGTGACCAAATTTTAATCCCTAAAATCTTTGTCTGTAGTATTCCCTAAATGTATTTTTTACAATACATTCATTTTCTTTTTCTAAATATATTTATTTTTAACAAGCGCATTTATTTATCATTGATCTTTTTCTTTTTTACAATAAATTCATTGTTTGATCTTTTTTACAAGACTGCATTATCATTTGACCTTTTTTCAATATTTTTATTTTTTTCCCCCTTTTTTACAAATAATACATCTGCAATTGCTCATTTGTCATATTTTATTTTATAGCTTCTATCCAAGATATTCTTTAAAGGTTTCAAATTGTAATGATAATAAATAAAATAAAATAATTGTCCTATTACTAACAATTGATGGAAATGTGGACGTTGAGTTTAACAATCAAGTAAATGAATGCCATTGATTTAATTGACAAAAATAGAGAAATGGAAAAAGAAATCTAAAAGTAAAAAAAATCCATATTGTGTTTTTTTTGAAGTGAATGGTTAGTTTATTTTAAAAGCATCAAATTGTTTTTCATTGATATTGAAATAACCTTATCACTTATGCCAGCTGAGGAAGAAATTGAAGAAAATGTTCAATGTTACCCCATATTCCAATTAAGATGTTGTTGCTGCTTTTGAAACTGTTCATAAATTTTTTGAACAAGATAACAATGGATTATAATGAACTCAAAGTTTTTCATGCATTTAAAGAAAAAAATTAATTTGTATAATTCTAAAAGTTTAAACCAAGGAAAATTAACTTCTTATTTACCAAACAACAATAGCATCATATCACATTTGACTTCTTTTAATATTTATTAATATTACAGTCAACCCCCTCTAAGTGCACCTCCCTCGGGAATGAGTGATAGCGTGCACTTAGAGGGGTGTGCACTTAAAGAAACAAAGCATTTCATTGGTTACACGTGATACTAATAAAGAATAAAATTTTTTTAATATTATGTATATTATCAATTACAACGTTACATTATTGTCACCAAAAAATAAAAATTTATACAATTATTGATTAAGATAAGATTCCATTGTAATTTGCCTCATTGTAGTTATTAAATAAAATCTTGATTCATGTCTTATTTATAATAATTTTGACTACATAAGCTTCTCTGCCTGCTTTCTTTGTTCTTTGTTCTAATAACAATAACCTTTGTATCTATTAAAAAAAAGAATTCTTGTCACTTAATAAAGATGAACAATTCTTTATCCACCTGTTACAAAATAATAATTATTTATCTCTTACTGATAATAAATTTAATTCTTTATTCTTTATCATCATTTACTAGGTATAAAATTTAATTCTTTACCATCTCTTACAAAAATCAATTATTTATCCTTTTTTTTTTTTTTGTTAACACAACAAAAATTATTTAAATTTATAACGTCACACGATTTTTATTGGACAACGATCACGTGAAATCACGGGCGTGCACTTATCTCTAATTACCAAGCTTGGGAATGAGTGAGAACGTGCACTTAGAGGAAGTTGATTGTATTGTTGTACAATTTTATTATCATTAATAATTAAAAAAAAAGTTATTTTTAAAAGTATCATCAATTACCTTGATTATCGAATACCTTGTTATAACGGATCATTGGGTATGTTCATTATAACAAGGTTTGACTGTATTACAATTTTGTTACACGAATTTCTGCACAATAGATTATTGGCTACCTTTAACGTAACACGCGCCCGCACTCACTGGTATTAATCATAATAATAACTTACAATTATTATATCGAAATTTTAATTAAAAAAATTTTTATAGGTGTGACACATCATTAACGTAGAAAGAAAATCCCATAATTTTTAAAATTCGCAGTTTTGATATAAATATTTGCCATGGTTGTAACTATTGATCCTTATCCTCTCAAGCCTTTTGGCTAAGATCAAGTGTAGTATCTGTTCTTTTCAGCTTAATATCTGAAATGATCCACACTGTGGATCTATGATATTAAACTAATTTTTTAAATTGGGGGGGAAGTCCCTAGCTTGCTACACTTCTCTCCAGGGTGTCCCTAGTATTGCACTACCTCTAGGGATGCCCACCTTTTTTTATTAAAGCGGGTTGGGTTATGGAATAAATAAATAAAAAATTTCTCTTCCGAAATTGCAAAAATTCATTTGAAATTTTTTTTTTTGTGGTTTTTAAATTCACGCAATTTTCGATTTGATAAAAACAATAATTCGTTTATTATTTATGAAAGAAAATGACGGATTAGTATACTTGTTAAAGAATATCATGGAATATAATACGATTTTATTTTTAGTTTCCTATTAGTGCAACAGTTTCGAAGCCTTGACGTTAACATATAATAGAACATCGACATTAAAAATTTTTTTTAAATAAATAATTGAAAGTTGACATTGATATTTGATTCGTGGTCCGCCGAATCTCACTAATAAGAACCGGGCGATCGTCATATATAAATTTAATATTAATAAAAAAAAGGGCAATACTTAAATCCACTTGTAACAAGAAATCCGCTGACGAGGTTTGACTGTAATAATAATCATATATATAAAAAAATTAATAGTAAACGATGATTAACCGGGTTTTCCGATTATAATTCATTCTTAAAAATCCAGTTGAAAATTTTCAATTTAATAATAATAATACTAATACTATTTTTACTTATTGTTATTCACTTTTTATAACGCTAATCTATTTGTTGTCCAAATGAAACCTTTTGAAACCTTAATTACTTATTATTTTTATATTAATAATGAAACTAACGATGTTAATATTAATTGTAGTAAATATGTGTTGATATTGTTATTGGCTCGTGTGTGCTCGTTCTAACATATGTACACATTACAGATCGTCCGTTTTTTTTTAAAAGTTTTTCTATATCGAGTTTAAGATGAATTAAGAGTATCGTTATTCTTACATGCATGTAAAGTCTGTATGATTTTTTCTGTAATAATTAAAACGACGAGAATGTTTTATTTTCAATACAACAGAATTAAATTTAAATTGGTGCAACAAAAATTGTCTAAAACACTGTATATTTCGAAGAATGATAATCAAATAAAAATCAAATAAATCATTAAAAGGATTTGGCTGTTTCACGAAAGTAAAAACGTTGTATAGAAATATTCAATATTCAATGATGAATGCCGAATAGTCAAGTGCTCGTTTTTTAAAAACGTAATTTTTGGGGAAGGTTGAATTTCAAGGTATTTGTTATCGGAAATGTTTTCTGAATGTCTGGATTTTGATTCATGAGAATGATCGTCGCCTTTAAAAAAAAGTTTGAAAATAGATTTAAATCTAACCAGAGTTGACTATGTAACTATCTCCCATTAGGTTGGATGATCTGCCTTTTGTTCAAACTAAATAAAACCAGGGCTCAAAATTATTCGGACCCTCCTTATGTGCAATATTACTTAGTTTGGTATGAATTTAAAATTGCCTTTAATTAATTTCCTTATTACCTTCAAAGGTAAGTTTTATCAATTAATATTAATAATAATATATTTTATAACTTAAAAAGATATACGCTATCAATGTATATTTTTCAACAAAATAAATATTTAAATAATTAATTGTTAAATATTAATACTTTACTTTTCATAAAAAATTATTTTCATTAAGAAACTTTTTTTGGATAAATTGGGAAAGCTATATTCACACAACACACACGTCATACATATATACGTTATACATTATACATGTATTTTTTTATTTAAAGATATTTATCTGGTAAATAAAATCATATAAAAAAAACCAAATATAAAAAAAGAAAAGATTAAGATAAAACAAGTGGTTGATTAATTTATATAGAAATGAAACAGTATCAATGTTGATGTCAATTTTTTTACTTCATTTCATATTAAGAGCAACACTTATACCCAATTTAATTGCAATTGTAATTTTGGAATAAATGCACAAGAATCCTGGTGATGCTACTACTGCACTCACAACACCTGTAAATACACAACCACCACCTAAAGTAACTTAACCTGTACCTCCTACTATAACACCAAAAGATACTACAACATTAGATGATCCAGTTCTAATAACTCCAAAAACTTCAAACACACACCACACCAAAAAGTCAGCCAGTGATTCAAACTTCACAAGAAAATCAATAACCTACAGTAACACAAAAATTCACAGTATTTAGTATAAGTAACTCAATAATCTTCAACAGCATCACTGTCATTATCCAGCAAACCACTAATAACTATAACTTTAACTGCCACATTGAATCAAGCAGGATCATCTCAAAATGTTTAATCAAACCACTACACAAGATCCAAATCCAAAATCCTAATAATACACCAAGTGATATTGCTTCTGAGAATGCTAATGCTAATGCTAATAATGATGATAGTAGTTTGACAACTAAAACTGCAGTAAGATCTATTCCTATAATTATTATGGTATATGCTATTATAGGTATATGGGAATATAAAAAATCAAATAACAATTTATTGATAAATGGAGATGAAGTTGTGTTAAGGGATAGCCAAGGTGATGATATCATGGGTGATCCATTCAAAAATACACTGGGTCAATATCATGTGGAGCATGCCACAACAAACCAGACAGAATGAACATTTATGTCACAACGATCAAAATTGTTTAACACTACAATTTTACTACAATATAACATGATATTAAATGAATGCTTTTGTTTCTTCCCACTTATTACTTAACTGATTGATACACAGGATTATCACCATGTAAAAGAAAAAACATCGTTTACAAATGTTATACATTCAAGTCCTGCATTATGTTTGAGCATCATGAGTTCAGGCAAAGAAAAAAGATCAACCTACAAATCTTTCAATAATCATTGTTAAATGCAAATTTTATTCTGTTAAAAAAGCAAATAATAAACAATTTAATGGTGAACTTTTTTGTGTAGGTTGTTGATTTGGCTATTGTTTTTTTTTGAACTTAGAAAAAACCAACCCTATGACATAAATCAAAAACTTGATGATGAAATAATCAATAAGAAATTGAAATC